AGGAAGTGATCTGCGCAGGAGTCCTGTTCTGCCAGCACCTGCCATCCCTCTGGCTGGTGATGGACACATCAGATGGGGAGCCCATGTTGGGGACATGAGGACATAAGGTATGTGGTCCCAGGAGGAACTCTCCTTATATATCAATGTGAGGGAGTTTCGGGCAGTCTGCCTTGTCAGGCATTTTTCCCCCACCTCGGGCAGGATTGTTCTTATCCTGTCCGACAATACGGCAATAGTATTCTACATAAACAAGCAGGTAGTGCTTGTTCCCCTCCCCTCTCCTCTGTCTAAAAACCCTCCAGCTCTGGGGTCTGTGTTTTGAGGCAGGTATTCATCCGATAGCATCCTGCCTTTCTGGGACCCAGAACACACTGGCACACCAATTGAGCAGGTCCTTCAGGGCAAATGTGGCCCTTCAAATCTTCTTCAGGTGTAGGGGTTTCCCTGCCTGGACCTGTTTGAGACCCACCAAAACAGAAAATGTCCCTAGTTTTGATCCTTCATGGGTCTCTGGGGGACACCCTCCTCACCCCTTAGCCGAAGGGTCTGCTTTGTGCATTCCCCCCATTTCCCCTGAGGGATGATCCTGAGGGCTTGATAGTTTGGAGCTTCCCTCATCATGCCGATGTGGTGGAGGCTGCACTTATTCACTTCTATTCTGAGCCTCTCCCTCGAGAGGCCAAATGCAGCCTCTCTGTATCCAGACGCGAACGCAGGATTTTGGCAGGCTTCACCATCTGAACCTGCAGTCCCTACACCTCCTGGCCTGGAAGTTCGATGGCTACAATGCTTGGAACAGGTGCAGGAGGTCTTGCTAGGGAGTAGGAAGCCTTCCACTAGAGCTACCTACCTGGCCAAATGGAAGCGTTTCTCTATCTTGGTTACTCAGAAGGGGATTTTTTCCATGGATGCCCGGACTGGTCCTGGACTCTCTCCTTGGTGTGGGGCTGTCCTCCTCTGTTAGGGTCCATCTGGAGGCGATCTCTGCTTTTAACTCAGGCTCCCAGGGAAAGATGCTTTTTGCAGACCCCATGGTCTTCTGGTTCTTGAGCGACTGGAGAGGTTTTACCTGCATGTTTGGCAACCTGTTCCACCTTGAGATATCAACTTGGCTTTGACTGAGCTTACTGGGCCCCCTTTGACCCTGGTGTTCGCTACTACACCTGTCCTGGAATGTGGTGTTCCTGGTAGCTATCACATTGGCTAGGTGTGTGTCAGAGCTCAGGGCCCTCACCTCAGACCCTCCTTATATATTTTTTCCCCTCAAGGATAAGGTCAGGCTCCACCCTCACCCAGCTTTTCTGCCTAAGGTGGTGTCTCAGATTCATGTCTCTCAGGACATTTTCCTTCCAGTGTTTTGCTCCAAGCCCCATGCCTCTAGTAAAGAATAGGCCTTGCACACACTGGATGTTAGAAGGGCACTAGCCTGTTATTTAGACAGGACAAAGCCCTTCCCTAAGTCCCCACAGTTGTTTGTAGCAGTTGTGGAGAGGCTATGGGGTCAGCTGGTCTCCACTCAGAGGATTTTGTCATAGATCACTTCCTGTATCCAAGGTCATAATGATTTGGTGGGGTTGCCAGCTTCCCCTCCGAATGGCTCACTCCACTAGGGCCCAAGCCTTCTCTACAGCCTCTGTGGCCCAGGTGCCCATCCTGGACATCCACAGGGCAGCCACATTGGTCTTTGGTCCACACCTTTGCCAACCATTTTGTACTGGCTCTTCAGGCTAGGGAAGATGCTGCACTTGGTAGGGCTGTTCTCCATTCTGTGGAAGGTTAAGACTCTGACCCTGCCTTCTGGGTTTCTGCTTTGGAGTCTTCTACTTGGAGTGGACATAAGCAATCACTCGAAGAAAGAAAATGGTTACTTACCTTTTGTAAGTGTTCTTTGAGATGTGTTGCTCAAGTCCATTCCAAATCCCATTTGCCTCTCCTTCATCGGAGTCGTCTGCTAAGAAGGAACTGAGGGGGTGAGGGGCCAGCAGGGTATATATTAGTCAATATAGCGGCACCACTACAGGGGCCTGCCCTGCTGGCCGAATGGGTACTGCTAAGGGAAAAAACTTTCTGACGATTTGCGCTTGTGGTGCGCTCACACCTACATGGAGCGGACACGAGCAACACGTCTTGAAGAACAAGTTATGCAAGGTAAGTAACCGTTTTTTCCTAGTCCGCAAGGTGCGCGTTGCAAACAGACTAGCTGCTCAGTGGCTTTCATAATTCACTCAACTTGGAGGCACTAAGCATGCTGAAGAGGTCTGCTGGCGCCACTGCCCTTCTCCCTTCCCGTACTATGTATACGTTTTCTTCCTTACTACATTTTAAAGGGGTTTGAAAATGGGAAAGTGATTAAACAGAGGCAAGAGGGTGAAGCAGCTGCAGCCAGGCTGAGAATCGGTGCTGGGGCAAACTCAGGGCTGGTGGGGGCCCCACTGCAGTTTCTTACAGAAGCATTTCCTTACGATCGTCCCAATGAGAGCGCGCAAGCGGCAGTACATTCCTGCAAGGTAGCAGCTCTCTCTATACCACCGGGACTATTTCCCTAGGCGCAATGAGCCACAGAACGTCTAGGGGGCGCTGCATCCCTGCCTAGCAACTCCAGTGGAAAGGAGAAGACTGAGAGGGGACATGATAGCAGTTTTCCACAGGGGGTGGGGGTGTGTTTCAGTGGAGATGGTTCTGCTGGGCTGCCCGCAGCCTGAGCCCTGCTGTTGGCTAGTCAGGTATCGGCAGGTGCAGCAGCCCAGGAGAGAGGCCTGGGGGGAGAGGCAGAGGGATCAGGCATAGGCAGGTTGCAGGACAGTAGGAGTCAATAAATAGGAAACTTTTAAAAGACTGGAGGAAAAATCCCTGGAAGGAAAATTCCTGTTCGATGGAGGGTGCAGCCCAGCAGGACTCGTGGGAAGATCGAGCAGCTTGTATTGATTTTAGCTGCTTGCTTAGTCACTCACAGTATAAAGAAGAGAAACTTATTTGAGTCCTTGGCCTCAAATCATTCTGTCTATTTTGGGGAAAAAAATAGCTTTATGTTTGCATGAAAAGGTAACAGCGTCAGATACTGGGCAGGAGTTAAAATCGGGGACAGGGAATGGCTCTGCTCAGCTTGGCAGAATTGGCTGACCTCTCCATAGGGACACCAGAGGTTGGGGCAGTTAATTTTAATGCCCTCCACACTTTGCTCCATGCCATCATTAAACAACTCAACCTCCAGGATGTCATAGCGGAGATGCGTGAAGAGAAACCTAAGCTCCAGGAAGCCATGCCAAAGAAAGAGATGAAGGACCATGAGGCAGATGACTCAGTCTATGCTGACTTAGAGAAGAAGGTCATTGGGGTGGAGGCTCAGGTGGCTGGGATGGCGGCTCATGTGAATGGTGTGGAGGCTCAGATGAATGAGGTGAAATCAGAGGTCCATGAGATAGGGGAACAGGTTCAAGGGCTTGAGAAGCAAATGGCTGCCCTGGAAAAACTGCCTTCTGGGACAGACTTGCTGGAGAGGACCAAAAGTGGCTCTCCAAATGGATCTGCTGTGGCTGACATGTGGCAAATGATGCAGATGAAGAAAAAGATAGAAGCTAATGAGAACGGCATCTCCAAGGTAAATCTTTCTGTTCCTCAAATTGTAAAGGGGCAACTCACCCAGTGGGGTGAACCCATCTATGAGAGTGACTAGATGCTTGTGGTAGCCTTGTCTCTGCTACTGACTTGCTGTGCTTCTTTGGTCAAGTCACTTTACCCTTCATCTACTCATCTAGAGAATTGAGTGAATATCCACCCTTAGAAAGGATCCCGAGAGGAAATGTGGTAGATAATTGGTCTGTACATAACTGGTCCTTGTACAGCACTCACACCATCCCTGTGTTCTGTATAAGTGCCTGGTGATGGTATTTATTTATTTTATAGTTTGATATAAATAATTTTCAGTAATAAGCAACAAGACTCCAAATTTGTGCAAAGCTATGGTAAGTTAGGGTCTAAAGTTTGTGAATGTATGAAAAACACACAGCTTTGTGTAGCTAGGAATCTTCTTTCACCAACAGATGTTGGCCCAATAAGGTATTATCTCTCCCACTTTGTCTCTCACGTGGCAGTCTTTTCCTGTCCCTGTGTTATTTAGGATTAGAGCTAAACTATAGGAAGGGAAATATCTGAATCTCCAGGGCCAGCCTCCATTACCTCTTAAATGTCTCATATCCAGTGTTATTTCTATTGCATGTTGTTAAGCAGGTAGTGATCTAGCATGTATTTTCAAAGCAGGATAATAAGGAAAACCATGACCAGGTATCACACAGGTCTTATTACAGCTGTGACTTGTGTTCTTGTAAAATTAATGAAACCTTTGCACTGATTCTTCTAAGGTTGCAAGAGAAATAAAGTCTTGATTGCTGCTACCCATTTAATTAAAGTGATGGATGGAAAAGGTTGGGGTATTGCTTGTCTAACTCATGCCATAGTTTTAACAAAGGGCTATTCTTGTTTGCATTCATCTTATCTCCAGTCTAGAGAATATAGAGACTGTGACCTTTTATTGTCCTTTGTCTGTGGTCTGTGTAAACTTTGGTTAGATGACAAAGGAACTACCCTTGAATTGTGAAAGGCCCATTGAGAGAAGTTTGGGGACCTCAGTGCATCATGTTTTAGGGCCTCACTCTTCTCATTTTTTATTTACACAAGAATTAGTCACTTACCCCCACCCCCAGTTTGGAGCCCCAGTATCTTTGTTCCTTCCTCCTCTTGTCAGCCCTGATTGCCAATTGCACTGTATGTTTTTAAGGGGCTGAATGGTTTTGTGTGCTTTGTTTCCTGCTATGCTACAGTCTTCCTATGTGACCTCTAGCAAACCTTCAAGGACTTTGCTTTCAATAAGGCCAAGCACCCACAGCTCCTCTGTACTTCAGCTTGAGTTGTGGATTCTCAGCACCTCTAAAAATCCAGCCCTTTGCTTCTTTGTGCCTCAGTGTCCTCATCTGGAACCTGCTTCACAGGTGGTTGGCGTGCTTAATTCAATCTAGTGAAATGCTTTGAGATCCTTAGGCTTAGGGAAACAGTAGAGGTGCAAGCGGGTGGGGGGCAGAGGGATAGGAGGGGAAGTGAGGCGAGATAGCGACATTTGGCAACTGGCTCTAAGCTGGGAAAGAGGATTCTAGAGGTTCTTACCTGTTCCCTGCCACACTCCATCCCCACTCCATGCCCGTTCTTACCTGTTCCCTGCCACACTCCATGCCCAGCTCCCTGGCATTATCCTAGGCCTCGTGGCAGCTGCTCCAGCCTCCCTGGGTCCCACTGTTGCTTCTCGCCCCTTCCCCCAGGTGAGTGTGCGCTTGCACAGGGGCAGAGCCTCCACAGTATTTCCCTGTTCCTGCTCCCTACCTGTATTCTCATTTCTCCCACTCCCACCCTAGGTACAAGTGGCATTTTCTGCTCCACAACTCCAATAGTGTTCAAAGAAATTGGACCCTCGTGTCTTGGGATGGGGGTGATACCCTGCCCCTAGGTACAAGTGGCATTTTCTGCTCCACAACTCCAACAGTGTTCAAAGAAATTGGACCCTTGTGTCTTGGGGTGGGGGTGATACCCTGAAGTCAGATCAGATTCCATGGAGGGCAGGGTGGGGAGGGAAGAGAGGGACTTCATTGAAATCATGGCAGCTGTATTGCCAGGTGTGCTTTTGCTGGATGAAGGTAGTGCCATGTGATGGAGTAGGTTTGTGAGCCAGGGAGTGATACATTTGCCCATCTTTGTCCCCTGACTTACCTGCACTTAGATTCACCATGGCACAGGTACATAGCTATTGTGTCTAAGTTACTGTAGTCTGAACCCTTCCTCTTGTAGGTAAATAGCATCATCTCCATGATGTCTGCTGTCCTCTTGTAGCCTGGGGCACCCTGAAAGGAGTTCACAACCTAGCTTTGTTATTTCCCTGTCCCAGTCAGGAGGAGCTGTAATGTTCATAGAACCATAGAGCTGGAAGAGACCTCAGAAGGGCATCAAGTCCATCCCTTGCTCTAGGCAGGACCAATCCCAACTAAATCAATGTTGCCATTCCAGGAGGCAGGAGGATGAAATTGTGTGGCAGGGACCCACCTTTCTAATCTAAGGCCAAGGTTACCACTACGTTGCATAGGCTCATCAGGGGAAAGCCCTGGAGATTTTCTCCCTTGGAAGAACCACCTTTCTAATCTAAGGCCAAGGTTATCACTACGTTGCATAGGCTCATTAGGGGAAAGCCCTGGAGATTTTCTCCCCTGGAAGAGGAGGATCTATATTGCAATCCAAAGCTGGGATGGGAGGGGTAAAGAGAAGGTAAGAAAAGTGGCCTGTTATAAGTGCACAAAGAAAAACTTCTTAGAGTGGGCTCTGCACATTCCTACTCATGGGATACCCTGGCAGTGCGGTCCTGGACCATCAATGCAGTAAGACCTTAGAAAGGACAAAGGCATAAGGGAATAGGCAGCAATAGCACAACCCCATCCGGGACTCTGGGATCAGTTTCAACCATCTGGCAACCCTATTTGCAAGATAAGGGAGCCCCTGAAGTTAGGGAGGTTGGGTGGGTCCTCTAGCAGTGTAATCAATAAGGCATGTGCTTCCTGGGTTTGAGGGTTCAAGTCCCTCCCTCCAGGGCAGCAGCCACCACCACTACCACCACCTCCCAGAGGGATGCAGCTGGCACCATGGGAAGGATAAGGGGGCTGAGGGTTGGAGCTGATACCAATGGAATAGAAGAAGGATAAGTGGGCCCCTGAAACTGGGGAGGTGGAATAGATCAATGGAGAAGGTGTCTGCCTCCATGGTTGAGGAGACCCACCCACCCTGGGCAGTGACCACTACCCTCCAGAGGGATGGAGCTTGCAGGAAGGATAAAGGAGCCCCAGGAGGTTAGATGGGTCTTCCAGTGGCATAATGGATAAGGTATCTGTCTCCTGAGCCTGGGGTTGAGGGCTCAAGTCCCACCCTTCCAGTTGGGGGCAGCAGGCACCACCACCAGATTCCCCAAGTCTGGAGCTGGCATCAATGGACTATAGGAAGGATAAGGTAGCTACTGAAGGTAGGGAGTTGGGGGCTTGAGGGTTGCCGACCTGCCTGTCCGGAGCACTGCCACCATTAGATTCCTAAGGGACAGAGCTGACACCATTGAACGATTCACAAGATAGAAGAGCCCCAGAAGTTAAGGAGGTGAGGTGGGTTGAGGGCTTAAGTCCCGCCCCCCCCGGGCAGTAACAGCCACAGCCACCTCCCAGAGGGGTGGAGCTGAAACCATTGGAAGGCAGGAAGAATAAGGTGGCCCATGAAGGTTGGAAGATGGAGTAGCTTGTCCAGCGGTGCAATGGATAAGGCACCTGCCTCCAAAGCCCGGGGTTGAGGGCTCCAGACGCTGGTGGTGGCTGAGGGCTGGAGTCCAACACCAGATACCTGAGTGCTGAAACCGGCACCATTGGAAGATAGTGAGGATTAGAGAGCCCCTGAAGGTAGGGGGGGTTGAGGGTTGGAGTCCTGCCTGCCCTAAGGGCAACTACCACCCACTTCCCAAGGGCTGGAGGTGGGGGCCAGATTCCCAAGGGACGTAGTTGACACCATTGGAAGAGAGGGAAAATAAGGGAGATCCTGAAGGTAGGTATGTAGGTGGGGCAGGTCCTCCAGTGCCACAATGGAGAGGGCATCACACCCCCAAGGTGGGGCTTGAGGGTTTGAGACCCACCTGCCCTGATGGCAGCTACTAGCACCATCCTCTGCAAGGCACAGACAGAGCATAGGAAGCATAAGGGAACCCCTGAAGATAGGGAGTTGAGACATTCTCCAGTGGCATAAGGCATCACACTCCCAAGGCTCGGGTTGAGAAAGCTGGTGTGGTGGCTAAGGGGGATGCTGAGGTTTGAGTCCTGCCCCCCTGCACTCAGCCACCACCAGTTTCATGAGGGATGGAGCTGGCAACACTGGCAGGTCAGAAGGATAAGGAAGTCCCTGAGAGTGGGGTGGGTCCTCCAGTGATGCAATGGATAAGGCATCTGCCACCTGCGCTTGAGGGATGGGAGTCCTGCCTGCCCTGGGAGCAGCCGCCCCCTTCTACAGGGCTAGAGATGGCACCATTGGAAGGTGGGAAGGATAAGAGGGCCCCTGAAAGCAAGGGAGGTGGGGTGGATCCTCCAGTGGCACAATGGCTAAGGCATCTGCCTTCGCAGCCCGGGGCTCAAGACCCATCCCCTGGGGCAGCAACCGCCCCCCTCCAGACAGAGGCTTGATGCCCTAGCAGACACCTTCTCCCCTACCCACATGCCCCTCATGCATGTGAATGAAACAGACATTGACAACAACAAAACAACAGACAAAGGTGCTGGGCCTGCTTGTCCACAGCTTTCAGTGCCTCTCGGGATCAGGATCAGGTGCTCGTTCCCCTCTAGCGTCTCCCTTGCCCATCCAGCAGGATGCTGACTGCTGAAGATCTGTCCTTGCTGAAAATGTTCTGCCCGCCCAGCTCCCATCACAGTCCAGCATGAGTCGGGGGGGAGGGCGGATTTTGGGTTTACAGGGAGCTCAACAAGGTTGTTATTGCAGTTCCTACATGTCACCCCCTCCAGGCCTTCCTCCATCTGGGACTGGACAATGGATTTCCCTTCCTTTGTCCTGTACACAGGACCCTGGCGCAACAGGACTTGCATCACCTATGCCTCATATTGAGGCCTCCTTCCTTTGTCCTGTACACAGGACCCTGGCGCAACAGGACTTGCATCACCTAGGCCTCATATTGAGGCCTTAGGTCAGGGCTGGGTCGGGGGTGGGTTGGGGGTCACTGACCTGCAGAAAAATCAGTTGGGGGCCGCACACAGTGAGAAATAAAAAACCAAACCAAACTCCGATGGAGCAGGAGAGAGACTCTCCCCACGTTCCCCAGGCTAGTAGTTTTGTGTGCTCCAGCCCTACGGTGGAGTGGAAGGGGGCTGCAGCACCAGCGCAGGCGCTCCAGTGCTAGGAGGGTCCCTGTGCCTCGGGGGCCAGATCCAGGCAAGTCAGGGGCCGCATCCGCCAGCCCTTAGGTTCTCCACCCCGGCCTTCGGTGATGCATAGGCCTTATGCAGGATGGGAAGGTGAATGCTGCCCCCACTTGTTAGCAGAGTTCTCTGACAGAATGGTTGCTGAAATTGGCAAGTCTCAGAAGCTGGGACCAGTGTTCCCTGTAATCTGAGCTCTTGGGCAGCTGCCCAGGAGAGATTCAAATGCTGTTCAGCTGACACAGGCGGCGGCATGCGTGTCAGCTGGTGGTGCATATCCACACATGCCTCGGTGCACAGCATGGCATTTAAGAGACACTGTAAGAGGGAGTGCTGGCTGAGACTGGTCTAGACTAGCGTGGGGAGCAGACTGTCATGGAGACCAGCCAGCATGGGTCTTGCTCATGCCCAGCACAGCATAGCCTAGGGCAGGGGTTTCCAACCTTTTTAACCACAAGCTCACTCTTTCAATTGAAGTGCAATGGAAGATCTACCTCAAACCCAAGCACCCTTGCGCAGCTTCCTTCCCCCTCTTCTCTGAGGCCCTGCCCCGGCTCCACCCCTTCTCCGAGGCCTCACCCTGCTCACTCCATCCCCCTTCCTCCCCGAATCTCATTCACTTTCACCGGGCTGGAGTAGGGCATTGGGGTGCAGAATATGGGAGGGGACACCCTGAAGGTAGGGAGGTGGGGTGGGTTCTGGAGTGGACTAGGGGGTACAGCATTTGTCTGGGGAGTACAGGGTTGGGGGCTTGAGTCCCACCTACCCTGGGAGTAGCCAGACAGCCAACACAAGCTGCCCCAGGGATAGAGCTGGCTCCAGCACTTGGAAAGGAGGATAAAGTATGTGCTGAAGATGGGGCAGGGGGGTGGGGTCCACAGTGCCATAGAGGATATGGCATCAGAGTCTGGAGCACAGGGTGGTGGGTTCAAGGTTCCCCCCTCACCCTAGGAGCAGCTGGCTCCTGCATGTGTAAAGCAGGAAAAGGGACCTTCTAGAGGTGGGGTGGGATCTCCAGTGAACTTAGGGTTAGGGCATCAGCCTCAGGAGCACTGGGTGGTGGGGTGGATCCCATCCAGGCAGCAGCTGGGCATCCAACACCAAGCTGGCCTAGGGATGGATCTGGCTTCCACATCAGCAAGGCAGCATCACCTGTCAGAGGCTCTAAGACCTACTGGTGGATCCTGGTCTGGTTGGTGACCACTACCCTAGGGAGCCATGCTGCAAAGCTAGCTGGCTGTCTTTAGGATAATGATCAAATGTGGAGGAAGGGAACATCATACCCAAAGAATGCCTCCAAAGCCAGAGCAATTGCTGCAGCACTAGGGGAAGAGTAGAGCCACAAGATTAAAGCAAGTCCCTGCTGAATTATTCATCCGTTCATGTAGCGTATTGGGAGGGAAAAGGAGCTTCTTTGATGAGATAATGAGCCTTTTTTGAGGCTGATAAACAGCCCTTTCTCAGAGCACTAAATCAGCTCGGAGGCTCATGCGGCAGATATTGCAACCCAATATTTTCCTTGTTTGTCTGGGGGGGGGGGGGGGGGAGGGTCATGTTAAATAAAAAAGCAAAGTATCCCCATCTTGACCTCTGGGAGCTGGTTTCCAGTTCACCCCCTGAATGATCCAGAGTGTGTGAGAAATTCAGTGTTCCCCATCCATCTGAATACAGTGCTGACACCTTGAGTCTTCCGAGTGTACACCAGGGTTGCCACAAGTTTGACCCAAGAGCATTTTAGCTAGGAAATAAGATCCCCATTCAGTGAGGCACGGAGATCCTGCAGCTGGCTACTGAGTGAGCCTCCACAGTGAAGCCAAAGGAAGTTGAGAACGCTCAGGACTGGGCCCGCTGTTGCCTTTGTTGAAATGGTTTTGTGGATTGATCTGACGTGTGCTGAGCTAATGGAAGCAAAACTTCAGTGGGATGATCAGTGTGAGGTGCTGAGAAATTGTGGGGACAAAGAAAACAGTTTCTGATCAGGAGATTGGAATTGCCAGGTGTTCTGAGGCCAGTTTGTAAGTCCCAGCAATAGGGTGGAACTCACCCCTGTGCAGGGACTGGCACAAGACCGATGTACAACTTGTCTTATTTTGGGGGCTTAAGGATGCACAGGGCCAGCCAAGACCTGCCCAGGATGAATAAACTACTCATGCGGGTAACTGCTCACCACTTTGAGTACATGGAAATCCCTCCAGCCCTAATGAATGTCACTTTCCAGTTGCTCTTGTTTTTTAATACACAACTATGTCCAAAAGTGCTATCTAATACTTGACCATTTCAATCTTCAGAAGTGCTCAGCACATACTGGGAGACAGGGCTGTAATGGTTAGAAGGTGTGTCCAGACACCTGGCTTCCATTCCTGTTATTGCTACTGATCATCATATGACCGTGGGCAAGTCATCTGACCTCTCTGTGCTTCATTTTGCCCATCTGTAAGGATTATCTCATCAGAGAAGCTCCTTTTCCCTCCCAATACGCTACAAGGGATGAATAATTCAGCAGGGACTTGCTTTAATCTTGTGGCTCTACTCTTCCCCTAGCTCTGCAGCAATTGCTCCTGCTTTGGAGGCATTCTTTGGGTATGATGTTCCCTTCCACCCATCGGTGCTTAGCCAGGAGGTGAGACTGTGTGTAAATATCAGAAACACACCCCACTGAAAACTGCTATGTGGATGGATGGTGTTTTTATAGAAAGTTGCTTATTAATAACATGGCCAGTGGAGTGGTTGAGCCTGATCAATTTTCTACTAAAGATCTGCACAGCTGAGAGCCTCAACTAATGGGATTGAGAGGGAAGGAACCCTCTGATGCTGGAGTTCCAAGGAGAGGCATGTATCCATCCAAGCAACTTAGCACAGCAGAACTTTGCAATGTCCCAGCAGCTTCCATCTGAACTCAAAGCACTTTCCAAACATCACTGCCTTGCAGCTGTAGGTAAATGTTGCTATCCCCACTTTACAGATGAAGAAACTGAGGCACAGGGAGACTGTGACCTTTGGCAAGCCATTTGGTGAAATAGCAGCACAGCCCAGATCTTCCTTCCCTCCCCTTCCCCCCAGAGTGCTAGTTTGAGTCTGTGATGTGGTCTTGTGCACTCCATGAACAAACCAAGTCCAGCCAATGAACAGCTAAGTCCCTGCAATGGTATTTGGCACCAGCTGTAGAGCACGGCATCAGTAGAGTGTTTGATCCCAGCATTTATGTATCAGAGGCAGGTCTTGTGGCAAAAGCTATAGAATAAGGGTGCCATGTGGGCACGAAAACAGTGCCAGAGGGAGAAGGGCAGGATAGTGCCCAAATCTGGAAGGAGAAGCCTGCAGGGCCCAAGCTGAAATGAAGGCAGCAGGCGAATGAGCAGTGGATGCTCACACATGCTGGTGTCCTAGCATAGACCTCAGGGCATGTCTGCACTTGATCTCTCCGCACTCAGTTAGGCACCCAACGTGCTGATCTCCATCCCCCGGCTGCAAATACACTTGGGGGGGTGGACCCAGGCTGGTGTTTTCATTTAACTCTTTCAGTTAGTCTAGCAGAGAGGCCTGCCTGGAGCTGCCAAGCTTAATGCAGCTTTTATTTACTTGGGGAGTCAAAGGAGAACTCCCAGAGTCCAGCTCCCTGCTGGGACGGATGCTCCGGGGGTAGCTGCTGTGTTGTTCTGGAAGCTTCTGGCCTCAGGCTCTCTGTTTAAACTGGCAAGTCCCTCACCACCACCCACACTCCACTGGCTGCCAGAGCCTGTCTAAGGGACTCCATCCCTTGGCTCTGCTCATCAGAAAGCTAAGGAAATGGAGACAGATAGGGGAGGTGCCTTGCCTCAGGTCACACAGCCGGGCAGTGCCAGTGCCAGGTATGATGGCTCCTTGCTTGATTTGCCAGACCCTGCTGCCCCTCGGAGCCGCCTCGCTGACTGTGGTGTAGTAGGTGCTCTTCTGGCCCTAAACTCACTCCCTGTCTGTTTCAGGCCATGGCTTTGTTCCAGGATCTGCTGAATGAAGTCAGCGGCATGAAGGCAGCTCATTTGCAGTCAACCGAGGGCTTCCAAAAGATGAAGGAGAAACTCGACTTGGTGAGTGTGGCTGTCTCCCACAGAGCGGAGTGAGTCTGGTCACTCTCCCTGGGGAGGGAAATGCCAAGACATCTCCTTCCACCCGCTCAAGCACGGACACTCCCCTAGTCCCTCTTAGAACCATAGAGCTGGAAGAGACCTCAGAAGGTCATCAAATCCAGCCCCCTGCTCTAGGCAGGACCAATCCCAACTAAATCAACCCAGCCAGGGCTTTGTCAAGCCTAGACTTAATCACCTCTAGGGATGGAGACTCCACTACTTCCTTAGGTAACCCATTCCAGTGCTTCACCACCCTCCTAGTGAAATAGTTTTTCCTAATATCCAACCTGGACCTCTCCCACTGCAACTTGAGACCATTGCTCCTTGTTCTGCCATCTATCACTACTGAGAACACCCTCTCTCCATCCTCTTTGGAAGCTCCCTTCAGAAATTGAAGGCTGTTATCAAATCCCCCCTCTCTCTTCGCTTCTGCAGACTAAACAGACCCAAGTCCCTCAGCCTCTCCTCATTGGTCATATGCGCCAGCCCCATAATCATTTTGGTTGCCCTCTGCTGGACCCTCTCCAATGTGTCCACATCCTTTCTGTAGTGGGGGGCCCAGAACTGGACACAATACTCCAGATGTGGCCTCACCAAAGCCGAATAAAGGGGAATAATGACATCTCTGGATCTGCTGGCAATGCTCCTCTTAATGCATCCTAATATGCCATTAGCCTTCTTGGCTACAAGGGCACACTGTTGACTCATATCTAGCTTCTCATCCACTGTAACCCCCAGGTCCTTTTCTATAGTAGTTTCATTATTTCCTCATGCTTTTTTCTTGACTAGCCCTTTAAGTTAGAAAAAGCTACATCATAGTCAAATCATTGTCATAAGTAATGGGAACACATGACACCAGCTGAAGTCAGTGGTGCTAAATTCCTCTGAAAAATCAGACTCTTAACCACTTCCACCACATCAAACTCAGACTTACTAAATACATATATCTGACTTTGCTTTTAATATTAGAAAAAGTGATAATAAAATTATAGAATTTTATACTAGAAGGGACCCAGAGAGGTCATCAAGTCCAGTCCCCTGTCATTACAGCAGGACCAAGCAGCATCTAGATCATCCCTGCTAGATGTTTATCTAACCTGCTCTTAAATATCGCCATTGATGGAGATTTCACAACCAAAGTCAAGGTATATCACATCCACTAAATTACCCATGTCCACAGACCCAGTTACCTCATCATAGAAGCTAATCAGATTGGTCAGGCACGACTTGCCCTTTGTGAATCCATGCTGACTATTCCTGATCACTTTCCTCTCATCCAAGTGTCTCAAAATGGATTCCTTTAGGATCCCTTCCATGATTTTTCCAGGAACCGAGGTAAGACTGACCGGCCTATAGTTCCCTGGATCGTCCTTCTTCCCTTTTTTGAAGATGGGCACTACATTTGCCTTTTTCCAATCATCCGGGATTTCGCCCGATCTCCACGACTTTTCAAAGATAATGGCCAAAGGCTCCTCAATGACATTTACCAACTCCCTCAGTACCCTCGGATGCATTAAGTCCGGACCCATGGATTTGTGTACGTTTAGCTTTTCTAAATAGTTCCTAACCTGTTCTTTACCCATCAAGGGCTGTCCATTGTTATCCCGTCTTGCATTACTTAGCGCATTAGTCTGGGAGCTGACCTTGTCCATGAATACAGAGGCAAAGAAAGCATTGAGTACTTCAGCTCTCCCCACATCATCTCTCACTAGGTTACCTCCTTCATCCAGAAGTGGCCGCACACCCTCTCTGATCACCTTCTTCTTGTTAACGTGCCTGTAGAAACCTTTCTTGTTATCCTTCACATCCTTTGCCAGTCGCAATTCCAATTGCGCTTTCGCCTTCCTGATAACCCCCCAGCATTCTCGAGCTATACATTTAAACCCCTCCCTGGTCATTTGTCCAAATTTCCACTTTTTGTAAGCTTCCTTTTTGTGCTTAAGTTCACCAAGGATTTCCCCCATAAGCCAATCCGGTCTCCTATCCTGTTTGCCTCTCTTGCTACACATCGGGATGGTTTCTTTCTGTGCCTTCAATAAGGCTTCTTTAAAATACTGCCAGCTGTCCTGAACTCCTTTCCCCTTCATGTTAGCATCCCAGGGGATTCTGCCCATCAGGTGTCTGAGGGAGTCAAAATCTGCTTTTCTGAAGTCCAAGGTGTGTATTTTACTACTCTCTTTTCTTCCTCTGGTCAGGATCCTGAAATCTACCATCTCATGATCACTGCTTCCCAGGTTGTCACCCACCTCTGCTTCCCCTATTAGTTCCTTCCTCAAGCCGCACATGGCCCCTGGTCTGATCCATCAGCACTTGTACCAAGAAGTTATCTCCAACGTTCTCCAAAAACTTCCTGGATTGCCTGTGTACTGCTACATTGGTCTCCCAACAGATGTCAGGGTGTTTAAAGTCCCCCACGAGACCCAGGGCCTGCGATCTGGAAGCTTCTCTCAGTTGTCCAAAGAAAGCCTCATCCACCTGATTCAACGGCCTGTAGTAGACACCGACCACAACATCACTGCTGTTGTTTGCACCTCTAAACTTAACCCATAGACGCTCAACGGGTTTTTCTCCCTCTATATACTGGAGTTCAGAGCAATCGTAGTGCTCTCTTACATACAGTGAAACTCCTCCTCTTTTTCTCCCCTGCCTGTTCTTCCTCTTGTGTGTGCACAGAGCCTTCCCTCTCCTCCTCCTCTCCCTGACCCCGTGGCTACACGCCCACAGCAGGGTGCTCCCAAAGGGAGTTAATGCAGCACAACCACTAGTACTGGCAGCAAAGCGAATGAGGTGCCCATTGCCTTGATTTCTCCTGTAGCTACTTCTTAGCCTTTCTGAGCTGGCATTCCCTACCCCTCATGTGTTTGGGGGTAACTTGGATTGCAGTAAATTTACGGACAGTCCATAAAAAACTAGCCAAAATTGGACATGTCTGTAAAAAAAATTTAGGTGTCTGTAAATTTTGTAAAAGTGCAATAAAATTTCAAAAAACAGCAATTATTCTTTAGCAATTAAATTTATTTTGTGCTGCTTCAGCCATTTTACTGCGGAGCAGTGGAAATAGGACGTGTTAGTTGTTTATGTAATGGTTATTCAATGGTTGAGGTGATGTAATGTGAATCATGTGATCCACATGATGTTATCATTTACATTATCCTGCTGAGTTAGCGTCAACACATTGATGTATGAATGACAACTACTACTTTTCACTTTTGGCCATTTGTCGTCTTAATATAGTATAAAAATTATGTCCATAAAAAAAGTTGTCCGTAAATGAAATTTCTGTGGGTTGGCAACCCTGATTGCAAGCAGCGTAAGTTCAGGGTTGTTTGTCCTAGGTGCATCTGCATCAGCATGCTCAATGGAAGTAAGAGATAAGAGCACAGCTTCCTGCTGCACATGTAGAGGAGACTGTCTCCTCTCCGTCCCTGTCTGTCTGGCACATGTCAGTAATGCTGGTCAAAGTAGATGGGACTGTCTGATCTTTCCTCTCCTTTGGGAATTTCACTGAAGACCAGCTTGGGTCCTTATGACTGTCCCCTTTTAATCCTTGATGGACTATGTGGAGTGTGTCAAGTTGGATCACAGAAGTTCCCTTGGTGTTGTCATCGAATGTGCTGATCAAGCCACTGACCCTCAGGGGCTCCCTATCTCCTTGTCCTGCTGGGCCAGAAGCTCATACGGTTCACCCCCTTTGTCAATGAAAGAGAGATATGCACAGTGGGTGCTCCTGCCCCAGGTAACAATTATTTACACTGGGTTTGATAATACACTAGTGTTTTTATTAAGTATAATAAGTAGGATTCAAGTGATTGCAAATGAAAACAGACAGATCAAAGTAAGTTACTAAATTAAAATAAACAAAACATGCCTGCTAATCCTATTGCACTAAGAAACTTGTGACATGCGAATTCTTCTACCCATCTCTTTCACAAGTCAGGCAGCCTCCTAGCTTGGGCCCAATCCTTCCTCCTTTCACTCTTAGATGTTTCTAGCAGACATCTGGGGGTGGGCAATAATTTTTGAAGAAGGGCTAGTTCACAAATTTCTGAAGGGCCCCGGGCTGCTCCAGAAGGGGCAGGGCCAGTGCACTTCCTGTGCTCCCTTGCTCACAGACTCTGCTGGTATGGGCGTGGGGGAGTGTGTAAAGTCTCTCGCCTCCTACCCCCTCCCTGCAAGGGGAGCGTGGCCCCTAGAGTGAACCGCCAGCTGTTAAAAATCAGTCAGGGCTGCACATGTGAGAAGCAGGGGGACTGGAGCACCAGCGCATGCTCCCCAATGCTGGAGGGGGGACCCTGAGCCTTGGGGCCAGAATCAGGCAAACCAGGGGCCACATACAACCCCTGGGCCTTACATTCCTCCCACCTCCTATACAGACTTCATAGGGAAACCAGCCTCTCTCAAATTGAGGATTCTGACCCAAAAGGGAGCTGCAGGGGATCACAGGTTTATTGTAGGTGGGTTGCAGTACTGCCATCCTTACTTTTGTACTGCCTTCAAAGCTGGGCAGCTGGAGAGCGGCAGCTGTTGGCCAAGTGCCCAGCTCTGAAGGCAGCATCCCACCAGCAGCAGTACAGAAGTAAGGGTGGCAATAGCATACCAGGCTGTACTTCTGCGCTGCTGAGCTGGCCAGCAGCTGCTACTCTCCAGCTGCCCAGCTCTGAAGCAGTGGTGCCCTCCAGCAGCAGCACAGACGTAGGCGTAGCAGTACTGCTGTGCTTACAATAACCTTATGACTTCCCCCTCACACACAAAATTTGGTCAAGATCCCTACAAATATGACACTGTGAAATTTCAGATATAAATACTTGAAATGATGACATTTATGATTTTTTAAATCCTAATGACTGTGAAATTGACTAAAATGAATTGAATTGACTGCCATGAATTTGGTAGGCTCTACTCATGAGGAACCTAGACCTGGAGCAACAGGGCAGGATGCAAGTCAGAAGTGAGCAGTATGT